GGAGTCAATACTTGTTTATATCAAGGGTCAATAAAGATTTAGACACCCCTGATGAATAATATACCCCAGATAATGCTAAATGTACCCCGTTTCTATTACAAATTTTAACGGGCTTCTGTGTTTGCTTACAATTTAGAAATTTATGATCGTTCTGTTTATTATAATCCTTCCTAAGTCTTCTTTACTTGTTTATTTTCATTTTGAAATCATAAATGTTGTCACTCTTTTTTCGGGGGTAGTTAAGTTGTGTATTGATATTTCTTTGGGGGATGTATTATCCATTGATTTTGGGGGAACATTTTAGGATCTTAACAGTTTACTGGAATTATTCTTCACTTAAGGTGTTAGAAAATTAGCTGGACTATGATTAATTAAAGAAGCATCGAATTAGTTTAAGAAGCATACTTAAATGTACTTATTAATTCAATGGAATTTTATAGATAATGTAATTTTCGGCAAAATATGCAGAAATTATTGAAGAATTGCAAGCAGAAATGGAATAAGTCAAAAAGCATAGCTATTTATTTGAAAAAAAGATTTGTGCAGTTTTCGGAAAATTATGCAGATGCTGTTGGAGAATTGAATGCAGAAATTGAATATGAAAAGTTGAAATAAACACATGTAGATATTTATTATACAAAACTTATAGATTTATGTCATTTTAGGCCAATTATGCAAATGCTATTGAAGAATTGCATGCAAAAAATGCAAGTAAAGCATAGCTTAAATGATTGATGATAAAGAAGTATTTTTAGGAAATCTGATCAGAGAATATTACTTACGAGGTTTTTCTAGAAACAAATGGAGAATTAGAATTTAATAGAAGTATATTCAGATGAAACTGTCATAAAACAAGTAATTGCTCTAAAGAGTTTCACTCGAAGAAGAAATAAACTTGACATTTCTAATTGGATAATTCTTCACGAGAAGTGCTGTTTCAATACGTTAATTAAAATGTTCATCTCAAATTGGAGAGCGCAGGATTCTAATAGCAACTGGGTTAATAATGAGGAAAAGGTAGGTTTCAAGTTCAGGATACTACACATTTTTATTGAAAGGGTATTAGGTTAAGTCAGAATGATGTCTCAGGAAAGTGAGGAAAGTACTTTAATGTACTGTTGCAACATACATGTATTCTCGAATTTGGTACCGTTGGAAAGCTTGAGATCTGCTTGTTAGCAATTACGAAATGTGGGCCGAATGTGTCTAAAACGCCCATTAACAATATAATATACTTATGTCACCACAGTTTATTAGGCAGGTGTTTGATCATCCAGGTTGTTAATTTTTTGTGCTATTCTAAACATGACTTCACAAATTGATTTGAAATTTTTAGAGATGGTTCTTGGTATGTCAATCTAGATTCTAGAATTAATATGATTTTGGGTATGCTCATTAATTCTAGCCAAATGTAGTGACATATTTTATGGTTCCCAACTTTTTTTGTGGATGGTGTTTGGTGGTTGGTATTCGTCATGCTGTAACAAATGGAAGGTGGTGACATTTTGCATGTTAGTGCCTCGTATATGTATAAAATTAAGGGTTTCATTAGCAGCAGGCAACAGGCAATTTTCACCATTTGTTTTCACAAAATCGCCTGTTGTTTTTAGGGACTTTTCAATTTTTTCATGTTAGATTTATGATTTCCATTAATTTTGCCTGTTGTTTTCATTTATTTAGCCTGTTGTGAGAAATTCTAGTGAAACACCTGTAATTTAACAATTTTGACTGTAATCTCCACACGTGATACCACCATTGTTCACTGTGCCTAATGTTTGATTCGGCAGATTCCACATTCATAGATGTCACCGCCTACTATTTTTTGTAACTGATGTCAGCAATCAGCACTTTATTAACTCACCAGGGGTAACATAGTCATGTCAATGCATAGTTACGTTTTACATGCCTACATTCAAACAAGTCATTGCTCTCATTAGAAATGAGAAATAAGAAACGATTGGCGTAAACATGAGGGGGGAGGTAATAGTAATGTGGGAGCTGATGCAAGTTTCATTGTCTAATTTCACAATGCCTAGATTTAAACAAGGCATTGCTTTCATCAGAGATGGCCTAGATTGAAGATTGACGTAACCATGAGGGGGGAGGTAATAGTAATGTGGGAACTGATGCAAGTTTCATAGTCTCATTTCACAATGCCTGGATTTAAACAAGTCATTGCTCTTATTAGAGATGGCCTCGATTGAAGATTGACGTATATATGAGGGGGGAGGTAATGTAGGAGTTGATGCAAGATTCTAATTTAGAGATATTCATCTAGAGATACATAAGAATAATTTACCTCAGAGAGTGTGGTCCAGAATCCAGATCAATATTTAATTTACTTATATTTAATATTTGATATAGCTTGTAGGAATGTGTCTATGTGGTCCATTCTAATGGTATGGTTTTGAATTTGATCACTTCACGAAATCTTGGATGCTTGGATATTTTTCATTTTTGTCAACTCATCTCATTTTATAGCAATGTACAATAAGGCAAGCTTTCTAAATAGGTATAATTTACAGTAAGCTTTCTAAATAGGTACACTATACAGTAAGCTTTCTTTATATTACTTTTGAAAGATAATTTCTATAAATAGGACACATATTGGCATTAATAAATTGAGAAAATCTAGTAAAATGAATTGCGATGCAATTTTTGTAGGTCAAGGGTATTTAAGATTATTTCAGAAGTTGGGTAGTTAAACGTGGAACAATCCCACATGCATACAAATTCTTTCTGGTTTGGTAGAGATGATGGGGAATTGGTCCAGGGATTGTTCTATAATTACTGTTGTTGTTATATTGCTGTGTTGTCATAGTATTGATCAATAATGCTGACTGTGTGGTGCCACAGGGTTTCTTCTATTTTGCAGGTGATTCTTATTTGCACAATTATAATGATTATACATGTGCACTGTAGCTCAGGTGTCAGGGGTTTCACTAGAATTTCTCACAAGCTAAATAAATGAAAACAACAGGCAAAATTAATGGTAATCATATTTAACATGGAAAAGTTGGAAAGTCCCTGAAAACAACAGGCAATTTTGTGAAAACAATCAGTGAAAATAGCCTGTTGCCTGCTGTTAATGAAACCCCTGGGTGCGTTTCAATCCTCATGATTTTGATAATTTTGTCAATATAGTGATCTCTCCAGTATCAAAACAGAAGTCCTTGGTGCTGTTCCTCTTGAAAATTAGGAAAATTACTTGCCTCTCTGTTAAAAATCTGTTAGCACATATCAAAAAATGAACGTTTGAGAAATGAGAAATGGGAGTTTCTGACCTTTATGTTCACCCAAGATGTGGTTACATATTGTTAAGTCTCCAATCTTTTGCGGATTGTGTTCAGCATTTGGCAGTTGGTGTTCGACTGTCAGTGTATGTAACAAATGGCAAGTTGTGATATTTTGCATGTTAATGCCTTGTTGCTCCTTCATACGAGTGATTTAACCCTAAGTATCGAGCATTAGAAAGAGTTATTACTTTTTTTGTACTTTATACAAAACATGTATATACTCCATTATCCCAACGAACAGAGTTCGGTAGGGATATAGTGAAGCCCTCCGTCCGTCAGTCCATCAGTCAGTCCGTCTGTCCATCCGTCCGTCCGTCCGTCTGGAAGAAAACTCAAATACTAGTGGACGGATTTTCTTCATATTTAGTGGAAAGATGTATATTGGTGAATAGTTTTACGCAAAAAAAAAATTTTCAAGATGGCCACCGCTTTAGAAATGACGGGACTTTTTCGCAAACATCATACATTTTTCATTCTAAACCAAGGGAATTAATATTATTGTTTGAAATTTTGGCAGTATATTCACAACATTTATCTATTTCACATATATTCTGTGTTTTTCATCCTGGCCCCCAGAGGCTGTGTATGGGGGGTCAGGAAAACAGAAATTTTCGCTAATTTTTAGATCTTTCTGAAGTATAGCTTTATTATACTCAAATGAAAGACAATTAAGAGTAGATTGCAAATATTGTCTCTTTTTTCTGATTCAAACCTCGTAAAATTCAAAATGGCCGTCTAATTTACGATTTCGCAATAATTTTTCGATCCCTTCAAAGTATGGCTATATTGTACTCAAATTGAAGGAATTTTGGAGGAGATCACAATTATGGTATTATTTTTCAGATTTGTACCTCAGAAAATTCAAAATGGCTGCTTTGCAGGAATTCGCAGGAATTCGCAATTCTAAAATCTAATTTTTTCAATTTTAACCAAAGTAATGAGTATAATTGATTTGAATTTGGTAAATGATATTTTGTTCGTTGGGATTTGCTACTCCGCGGAGTTGCCATTATCTAGTTTTATTATATACCTCCTATGTATTCTACATACTAATTGGCTTATTCATGGTCACATGATATGAAATAGATGAACTAATTCCCAGGAAGTCCTAAATCCCTGGTATCAGGGAAGATGAAATGTACTAATTACCAGTTAGGTCATGTGACCACTCATTAGTACGTTTTATCTTCCCCGATAGGTGAGATTATTGGAGTTGAAAGGCAAAATGCCTTTAAATCCGCCTGCAGCCTTGGGAAATTGTCTGTGGACAGGATAATTCCTCTTGAAAAATATTTTGCACTATTTCCCTCAATAACAGTCACTATTTGTATAATAACATTTGGGCATAAATAGTTTGTTACAAAAATATGTTTATATTGTTATATAGTGCTAATAATAGATAAATAAATCTATAAATATGGATAAAAAGCTGTGATTTATACTCCAAAAATGTATGATACCTGTATAGTATAAAAAATAAATGGTACTTAGTATTTTGATCAAATTGGAATATGATTATGCTTAATTCTCTTACTTTTAGATGACTATGCTTTATTACGTAATGGTACAATAATATTCATTTATTAATGGCCAAATTATAGTAACTAGTAGACATATGTATACCGTATATATAACTATATAAAGTCACTGTTTAATTCATATAATTATAGATAGAATTATCACGTTTTTGTTCTATATTTACAGGTGTCTTTAGAAAAAACCCACAACGAAGATGATGTCACAAAAATCCACTTACTTGAGGAAAAAAATCAAACTTTACAGTCAGATATATCAAAACTTGAGTCTTCCATCGAAGAAAAAGTTGTGTTGCAGCTTGATCTTGAACGAGTGAAATCACGACTACATCAATTAGAAAAATATGTAAGTACAGTATAAATATAAACCAAGCTGCAGTAAGAGTTTTCTAAATGCCACTGTGATCAGGCAAAAGTGTTAGAATTGGCAAATGTTCACATTTTGAGGTTTTGAATATGGAAGTACATGGCAGATCAATATTTTGAATGAAAAAAGTGTTTAGATATATAATACTTGTAGTTAAGATATAGTGTCTTGGATATACAGGTTTATGGCCGAGACACTAGTAGATAAAATTTATGTATAATTCCTGACATTAGAGCGGACTGATCAAACATGTCATCTCCATATGCAAATTAAAATTCTTTAAAATTGAAATTGATTTTTATGTCACCAGCAAGAATCAATTGATTTAAAAGTCCCAGGGATGTATTCTGGTATGAAGATCTAGAAGTGATTAGTTTTTGGGCATGCTGGGTAAATTTAAAGGTGGCCATTTTTATTTTTTGGTAAATATTCTTCACCTTGTACATTGTAAATTAAATGGTTAATAAAAAAGAGTATAAACAGCAAGGAATAAAGTAAACTGGCATGAAGTCAAAGTCTCAGTCACATTTCCTCTGTGACGGCTGTACGGTAGTTGTTCGGCAGTTGTCGTAAGGGTTTCCACTAGAGACAGGTGTTCACTAAAGAGAGGTGTTCACTAAGACAGGTGTTCACAAGAGGGAGGTGTTCACTAGAGACAGGTGTTCACTCGAGGGAGCTGTTCACTAAGACAGGTTTTACTGTAGAGAGAAATAAAGTGAAAAATATGACTTCTCTTTAGTAAGTGTACTTACTGGCAAGGATATAGAAATATGCATACCATTTTTCAATTTCGGAAACATTTTTGACGAGATTATTTTAATGGTGAAAATCGAACATTTATTGCTGGGCACGGGTAATTGGCCTTAAATTGTATGGCTAAAAGGTTAGATAATCTTCCTAGCTACAATTTATGATATTCAATATCTAGAATTGTTGCCATTATTAGCAATTATCCTACTCTGGGGGTTGCATATCAGTAATTTCTGGAATGCTGGGTCAGAATGCCTTTTAGTCAATTTTCTCTTTAAGTCAATTTTTATTCTTTATCAAGCCTGATCCTATTTTACTTGTTCTTGCTGCAGGGTAACTGGTTTGATGCTAAATTTTCAATTTCATTTCTGTCAAATTTTATATCACCACCAGAAGTGGTGACATATTGTCCGTCTGAAACCTTTTTTGGATGGTGTTCGGTGGTTGGTGTTTGGCATTTGGTATCTGTAACAAATTCTACTCATTTCCATTCCAATTTTGATTTTAAAACATTGGACCATGACATTTTATATGCATCAGCATAGCACAAATATCCCAATATCCTGTAGGTCTATTACCTATGCTTTAAAATTCGCAAAGGTCTTAATCTATTTCTCAAATTCTCTCAAAAATTTGAATTAAATGTTTGAATTTCTTGCATTTTTATACAATTTAGAGCACAAACTACATGTCTGTTTACTTTATTCCTTGCTGATTCCACTCTTTTTATTCCATTTTCATTGTAAAACACAGAATTTTCCTCATTGGTAATATCAAATTATTAGAGATATTACTGAGAAATATGATACACAATTTCCAGCTAATAATATGTGTGTTAACTAGATCAAACAAATATGGACTCCTGTGAAAAGTGTCATGTTTTCAATGTGCAAAATGAGAGAAATTACCATGAAATAGAGAAAATAGGCAGGACTTTCAATGCTAAAATTGCAGGAATTTCCAAAAATCAAACAATTCCATTTTAACAAAAACAATTTTTTAAGAAAAATTGCACAATTAGGAGTGTGATCTTAATTAACAATTGTGGCCTATCCTTGTCAACAATTTCCCCCTCGTTACATTTTTTCACTTAAATTATCACAAAACTGGTTGATTTTCTTGCATTTCTATACAATTTAGAGTGTTAGCTACATATCTAGCTACTTTATTCCTTGCTTATTCCACTCTTTTCCACTCTATTTCGCAGTTGAAACATGACCCCGATATCATTTTACTCGAGGGATATATTATCTCTACATATCCATTGTTTTAAATCTTGTCATTTGGAGGGCATCGGCCATAGAGATCAGATATTACTATAACTCGTAAATCGTCATTGCCACTTTGGGATTAAAAAAGGTTCAGTCATATATTTTGGAACGCAGAATGGCTCATAAAAATATATTAGACTTACATTGTTGTTTTTGGGTAAGCTATTTTTTGTTTTCCACGGAAACAGAATGTGAGGAACACATAGTTACAAACATTTTGAATTCATCATAAAATTAATCAAAAGTTACTGTTTTTGAATATCGTACAAATATGTATGAATTTATGTGTTTTATTTTCAGGAACTCGAAGCAACTCAAAAGCGAATAGAATGTGAGAGTTTGAAAACTGAAATAGAAAACCAAAAGACAAAATGTGCAAAACTAGTAAGTTGTAAATATCATCCTGTTGAATAATAACCTATTTCATGAAATTAAATGTACAGACTGTAACTTGAAAACTAAATTATTTTATTTTATTTTGAGAATCTAAATCAAAATCAACCTGTTACAAGTAACTGAACTATATTTTCATTTGATATCATAATCACATTTGCTTGTATGGTTCATTGGTGATAATTTTTTTGGTGTTGTTTTGTAGGAATTTAAATCCCAACAAACAATAGAAGAAAGCAGAAAAACCCAAAATGAATTAGAAGCTCAAAGAACTAAATGTCTTGAAATAGTAAGTAATAAGTAGGCGGCAGCCGAGCCCAATATTTTTTCGAGGATAGGTATTCTGGCCATATCCAGCTCCTGATCATCCAGTATTTGTTTTATTATGCACCTCCCAATCAAAGTTAAGTGGAGTACTTACTGGAGTACAGGCTTAAACTGTCGTTTAGTTGACATTATTTTGACATTTATTTATTTTTTCTTTCAAAATTCAGACGACTTCAGGCCAGTTTATTCGCTACACTGGACGAAAATATTTGCCCCGGGAATTTAATTTTTATTTATTCGAGACGTTCTTGCAGAATTATATGTAACTTTTGAATGATAAGAGTAATTGTGATTGATTAAGTTCATTTTATTCTTCTATTTTCCGCCAGTTTCAGATGTAAGCTTTAAGTAGTACTCCAGTTATTAAGAAATAAAACTCTGAAGCGGGAATGTTGCAAAAACATTGAAAAAAATATCCGACCCTTTTTCTCGAAAGGGTCAGATATTAAAAAAATATCCAGGAGTTTTCAGAAAAGAGCAGAGTATTGCCAAATTACAAGCAACTAAGAATCAATCAGATTTGAGTATTTTAACGAGGTGCATAATAAATGTATTTACTATTCTAATATTAAAAGAAATAAGCTTAGTACTATTAAAAGCAAAATGCATATAATGTTTACTCACCGTATTACTGTATCAGGGTATAGGCAACCAGTGTTTTTTTTTTTTAAATATCACTATTGTATTACTAAAAATGCACTTTTGTAAAATCTGAAACATCAAAAATGGTGAATGATTTTGCAGTTTGTCAGTTCAGGAATTTGAGTAAATTCTGAAATTTTGAGAGGATCCCGTCAATTGAGGAATATAATTGTACACAGGAAGTTTACAAAATCAGTCGATTATTTTGTCTCTATAAATCATCCAAAAATCAGTTGTAACAAGTAGGCTTATTTCTCTGCATTAGGGGATGTAGCACTCCACCAGATGAAGATTATAACCCTCCTTCCCCTGTGAAGTTAGATATAACTGAACAAAATTGTTATTTCAGGAAAAAGAATTAGGAAATGTGTCCTTAGCAAACCAGGATTTAACATCACAAAATGCTGATCTCTTGGAAAAAATACAAGAACTGGAAAAGGTAAGAATTATTTTCATCAGATTGAAGCCCTTGTTTCACTTTTATATTACTATCATAATTTTGTTTAATGTTTCCATTGAGCACTCCATCCTACTCAGAGGAGGGAAAACCCAGAGTTTAGAGATGACCCCATACATACCTCACTTGCTTACAAGCTTCGTTTGTCTCAAAATTTCCACCATATAGTTTCTGAATACCATACGTCAATGTGATGTTTTAATGGAAATAAACATATTCCTTACATCTTTCTTGATCTTGATGTGAAATAACAAGCTATAGTATTGGTAAATATTTCAGTAATGTATTAATTGAAGCGTTTTTACAAAATTTTGAATCCACCATTTTGTTTCCTATGTCATTTGACCAATCAGGGATGAGGGTCACCTCTACATAAAGATCCATTGAAGATAAGGTCACCTCTGGAGTTTCCCTCGTGTTTTATTCCATATGTTTGTTTCAATCGTGGTGGTAATGTATTGAAATATATGTTTTCAATCTATCTATAGATGTCATCATAAGCAGGTTCTCACTAATCATTGCCTACCCTGGTTCACAATGGCTGAATCACCCTACCCTCTCACTATCAGAATATATCATAGTTTGTGCACTAATAAGATCTGTTTAATCACAAATTCATTGTTTTGTGCCTACTTTGACAGCTATATTGGTCTTCCTTAAAATTTCATTCTAAGTGTATTTGAATGTAGGATTTTGTATTGTACTAGACATTTGATGATTGCCCCTTTTCTCATCTTGATCAATAATTGAAGTTTGGAGGCATTGAATTCATTCAGTAATATTCTTGCAATTATCAGGCAGTCCAATTTCAGAAAAAACGATACCTTGAAGATATTTCAAGGACACAGTGACCAGTTGTTGTCTGCTTATTTTTATCTCGGATTAATCAAGCTAGATTATGGCACAAGAAAAATTGAATTGTAATAACTAAGAAACACAATGACATTAATTAAGGTAGATTAATTAAGTAAGATTAATTTAGTTGGATTATAACTAAAGCTTTAAATTTTTCTTTTAGGTCATTTTGACCCTTTAATATCTCTCTCAAAAAATTTTATGAAGCGTCCGATTTTCTGGTATTTTTATGAAATTTAGACTGTAAACTTTGTGTCTGTGTACCTTACTCTTTGATAAGTCATCTATTTTTCATAACATTTTGTTTCTTTCGCATTACATCATGATATTTATTGGTGACTGGTAATTTATCATTTTATGTCTCTGGTCTTGATATGTTGTTTTAATCATCATGAATAATCAAATATTATATTATCAGAATTACCATTACAAATGATCTTTTTTTCCTAATCATACCACTCAATTTTTCATGGCTTGAGATATGGAAAAAATATGAAATTAGAAATATACAAAATGTGAATTATTAAGAAGGTCACTGCGACATTTGACTTTGCCTTTATGAAATATATCAAAATGGTCATGTTTTCAAATGTGAAATAGAGTAGAAAATAGTGAACTAAGCAAGAAATAGAGTCAACAGGCATGTAGGGAGCACTTTAAGTTATATAGAAATGCAAGGAAATTAATAGTTCATTCAAATTTTAGAGAGAACTGGAGAAATTAACCAGGATGAAAGAGAAATTTTATCATCTCACAGTTTCAGTAAAACTAATAAACATGTGCTATGATGTTATTTTAATCAATTTATGAATTTAAAAGCAAAGCCTTAAGAAGGTATATAATCCTCCCCCCCAAAAATCAGAAACCAGACTCGCTTGCCAGATTAATTTTCAATCACAGATATGAAAACTTCATACCATGATAATCCAATATGCTGAAACATACCAAGGCCATGTTTTATTGATGCTAGAATGTGCTAAACTGTATGTGAAATTCTTTATAATGATTTACATATCTCTGATGCAAACATATTATAGAATAGGTCATAAGCCAAAAGTGTAATATTAATAATGATTACTTGTTAGAAAATTGTCATGGACGGCTTACCTATTTTACTGGTTTTCTCTCTAAAATTTGAATAAACTACCTGGTTTTCTTGCATTTCTATACAATTTAGAGTGTTGACTACATGCCTGTTTACTTTATTCCTTGCCAATTCCACTCATTTGTACTCTAATTAGCATTTTAAAACATACCATCATGATATTTTTCAAGTTAGTTTTACATTCTTGATAAGCAATAAAATAGGTTTAATTATCGTACTGGGATTATCTAAAACGTCTTTCTCGGAAATTTTACATGCAAATGTTTTAGTCTTTATGAGTTTAGTCTCTAGTTGTATTTTATGGATGCTTTTAAGGTAATTACCTTGTATAAATCTGGTAATATTGTGTTGAAAACTAAGAAAAAGGAATCTCCAGACATCTTTTCACGTCATTACTGAATACTGCAACAATTGTAACTTTGGGCCTTTATTTCAATACCATATTGCAAACAAAATTACTTGTAAGAATTAATTACATAGAATCTGTTGAAAAAAAATCATCAAATAAAAATCACTAAAGACTTCAAAAAATCATCAAATAAAAAACTCTAAAGACTTCTGAAACTAAGATAGTTTTGAAAAGGGAGGCTGTAATCACCATCGTTATACCACCCACTCCCTTATAAATTTACAATTATCAAAGTTCATGGAAGACAATGAATACAGAAACAGTGAGGAAGATTGATGTTTTTAAAAATCAGGTGGGCGATAATAAAGTAAAAAGAAATAAGATTTTCCAATAAAGTGAAATTATTTGATATTCAAGTTAATATTTCACAAGTTCCTATTGATCTGTTTTATGTATAGGCAAGAATTGCCAAAATACACACAATAAATTGAAATTGAAATTAAAACTAGGAAAATATTTACGTTATAAATGAATATATTTGTGTTAATTGAATCATTATTTAATTTGCACGAAACAAAGTAAACAATTTCCAAGTCCTAGTTAATATTCGTCAATATTAAAGAAAATTTGAGTGGATTAAACGTGCTTTGGTATATAACCTGAGATCAACAGTACATTTATTATCTGAATACGAATCTAATGGATGTTATTAGAGATTGGTTTGGCATTAGGGATAAAACAGTTCATAAGGTATGTTTATTAGTCTGTAGACTGTGGACCCCCACCCTCCCCCCTTTATTTACTTCATCAACACAACACTGTCTAGTATAGTGGGGGAGGGGGCTCACAAGGCTATAGAAATTCCGGTTCGGCGGCATCTATAACAAATTTTTCCAATAAAGTAACATCTTGTCATGTTAATGCCTTGCATAAATATGTTACATTTAAGAAGATTTTGAAAGAAGCAAAAACTGGTAATGTTTTTGATAATTATGCTAGCCCAGATGCAAGACTTTTAATGCTCAACATAAAAATTAATGAAAACATTTTCACTATTGTAAATATGTATGCACCTAATAATATGAATGGTAGAACTGAATTTTTTACCCAGCATGCAAAGCGTATTAAAACTTTTGCATCTTTTAACAGTAATATTATAGCATTTGGAGATCTTAATTGTTATTTGACCAAATACGATAAATCATCTAGGGTATTAGAGGCAGATACAAGCCGTCAAAAACTAACAAATATGATAAAATATCTAAATTTGACAGATGAATTCAAAAACTATGGTTATACTTGTATTTCTAAAGGTACAAAATCAAAATCACGAATAGATTATATTCTATATAATGAAAACCCTACATTTAAAGTGATAAAAAAAGAAAAAATTCATTTTCCCTTTTCTGATCATAAAGCACTCTGCTTACTAATAGATGTCCAAAAGAATAAAAAAGGTCCAGGGTATTGGAAATTTAACAAAACACTTCTAGAGGATAATATATTTGTTGAGAAAATCAGAGATCTTTTAAAAAATAATGAAGAGATAAATGAATTAACATCTAAACAAATGAAATGGGAATTTCTTAAAATAAAAATCAAGGAATGTGCAATAAGATTCTCAATAGACAAAAACAAAGTTAAAACAATGGAACTTTCATTACTAAAAGAAGAATTAAACAACCTAGAAAATAATTCAAATTTAGACCAAAAAGAAAAACAAAGAGAACAGGAAATCCTCCTGATTTTTGAAAAACAGCTCGAAGAAAAAACCAAAGGTGCAATTTTAAGAGCAAAAGAACAGAACGTTGAATTTGGTGAAAAAAATTCAAAATATTTTCTTAGTTTGGAAAAATCACGACAAATGAGTAATACCATTACTTCATTAAAGACTAGTAACAACTCTATAATCAGTTCTGACAATGAAATTCTTGAAGAAGAGATTAAGTTCTATTCAGAACTTTATTCCTCAAAAGCTCAAAATACAGAAAAAGTTAAAGCATATTTAAATACGATTGATTTTCCAGTGAAACTTAGTGAAAATGATAATAAATTATTAGAAGGTGAAATCACAGAATCAGAATGTTCAACTGTCATAAAAAAGATGAAATCTGATAAATCACCTGGTTCTGATGGTTTGACATCAGATTTTTACAAATATTTTTGGTCTGACATCAAGCACTATGTTTTAGATGCAATTAACGAATCATTTTATACTGGCACATTGCCAACCTCATTTAGAAAAATCATTATTTCACTTTTATACAAAAAAGGTGATAGAGAATTGTTAAAGAACTATAGACCAATAAGCTTATCAAATACTGACTATAAAATATTAGCCTTTGTACTTGCAGACAGGCTACAGTTAGTAGTTGGGAAACTTATCAGTTTACATCAAACTGCATATATAAATGGTAGATACATTGGCAATAGTTGTCGCTTAGTAATAGATATTTTTGATTATTTTAACAACAATAACACGGAACAAGGAACAATTCTATTTTTAGATTTTCAAAAAGCGTTTGATTCTATTGAATGGAACTTTATGTTTGAAACTTTAAAAAAATTTAATTTTAATGATAACATCATAAAATGGCTCAAATTATTATATACAAATCCATTTATTAATATTAAACAAAATGGATGGCTATCTCATAATATTCCTATGGAACG